CGAAATAAAACAGATTCAGCTTTTTCTTCGACAAGATAAATCTATAGGCTTATGAACATAAGAAGAAACAGAAGATGATAGCCCTCGTCTTTTTTCTCTAGATTCACACTTCATGCACTTCCAAACACTCACCCAGTAGTCATCCATCATCTATTGCTAGGCGTGTGTGCAGCACTGGGGTAGAAGCAGAAGCTATTGGATGGTAGGATGTGTGTACGAGAAGTATAGCGCAATTCTAAAAACATTTTCTTCACTGAAGCGCTTTACAGGAAATGAAAAATCATCAATCTGTTACTGTTAACGTCAACAAAGTTTCAATTAAATACCTGGAGGAAACAACGTGGATTGAATTTTCAGGGCTAATTACTGTTGGCATCAACGCTTTTAAGTTTTGTATTTGCTTAGGAATAAATGGCTAAACCAGCGAATCTCCGGAGAATGGGAATTATGCTTGGACTCGCACAACCAGTGAAGACGGGCCATCCACGTATCCAAGTAAGTATTTGTTTAGCGGGCGGACTCTTAGTTGATATTTGATTACTACATGAACATTATTTAGCAACAATGCCATTGACGCCATGTTAGTAGACGCAATCGGATTGCGCGCTCTTTAAACGGGAAACGATTTTATTAACGAGCAGTCTAGTAGGTCAAACACTTCCAGAATATAACTCGTATATAATGCTGAGATATTTGCAAAACTCCGGACCGCAGGTGTATGCGGTGGGGAACGAACGCGCGCTATTGTTCTTGCCGGGGAGTAGCGCACTTCACCACCACATCATCCGGGTCCTTCGTTTTGCCTGTCTCTCAGCTAGTTCTATCGATCTTTTGCCATCAGCAATCGCCCGTCAACGGGATTGATCTTTGGAGCCCAAAAGTATATATCTCAGCATTATATACGAGTTATATTTCGCAACATACGCTGCCATTAAAAAGAAAAAGGCAGTAAATAAAAGGGTTAAGACTTCCTGAATACTTGAGACAAATCTAAGTTCAAAACTTTAGAAATGTAAACAGCTTGGCCAGCACCTGTGAATGGGCTAAGCAATGCTTCCTCTTCAGAGGGAAAATTTAGATTGAACTATGGTATCATCTCCCATATCATTATCCTCCATTCCGCTCTGTGGTTCCTTTCTGGAGTTTTCGATCTGATCAAGAAGGTCTTAAGAGCCCCACGGGCTGGTGTTTTTGAGTCCTTTGGAGTAGTCTTAACTTTGACGCGAAATCGTCATCGTTCTTTTATTATGCCTAGTGTGCACCTAGTAGAATATTTTGTTGAAGTTTATGTTTTCCATCAAAGTGTTGTTTTATGGGAATGCAAACCGTTCTACCTGTTTTTCTGTGTGTTGATCATCGTACACAGAGACGGTTGATGCCGTTGAAGCAAAGCAAACAATGTTATTTTCCTAGCGACAACTTTAGAAGCGGTTGCCAAGTAAATGACGTCATAAACTCTATAGTAGAAGTCCAAGCATCACTTAAGCGTTTGCTCTGGAGAAGCCATTTACAGACTTCGCTTAATAGCACCATTAATTACTTCTTTGGAAATAAAGCTCAAATTAAATGCATCTTTGTAAGAGCAATAAAGATCGATTTGCAGAATTACTTTAAATTTAAAACTAATTTAAGTTACCACTGAACACTATTTGTTTAACAATTCAAGACGGATTTTCATCTGAACTTGTGTGAAACAGACGACAAAACAATCACCCACATGTCGGCAGAAAGCAGTCGTCTGTGATTGGGACTTCTATTTTGGACACCAAAGAAAGTGATGCTCAGAATTGGAATCAGCCCTGTCCCATTACCATCCTCCGCTTTATGCAGAATCTCTACCACACCTGCTACAGTTTGAAGAGCTAAAAACTCCGCGATTGTCATGAGCTGCCGAATCGACGACCCACACGTATTTGTGGCTTCTTCACCACTCCTGAAAAGTTCAATGGTGATAGGCTTAAAATTGAATGGATTATTTGAAGAGAAATCATCAGTACAGAACAGTCATGCGTTTGAATAAGTAAGTATATGACGGCATACACTTGCATTTAGATCTCAAGTGAAGAGAAAATGGGTGATGGTTACAAATCCGTTACATTTTAGACTTTCTGCCAGTCTCTGTTTAATTTGCGGCACTGCTTTCTTCTTATTTTTGTTCATGGGATAGGAAAACAAAAGAAACTAAAATATCTGACTAATTAGAATGATATTTTAACCTCGTGTAAGCTTACGAAAGGAAAAATACATATTGATTATTGATACCAAGGTTAAAATAAGGTCGGTTTTGAAATATTATTACGCTTTGTAATAGCTGATTATGATACCGACTTCTACAGGATGCATTGTCCGGCAAAAACAAGTAATTATCACCGAGCAATCATCGCTATCGATAAGAACCATCCCGTATAAAAGGAAAATGCCGAGTGAGTGCGGCTCATTAGAAAGAGGTGCTCCACTAAAGAACAACCGGCTCGGTGCGCGACGAAGACGCCACATGGAGAGCACGGACAAGTGTGGACCATCGACTCGGATCATCGGCTCTAGTGAGAAACCGTCGAAACATCAGCCGAAGATAAAGAATTTTTATCAACCCCGTGTAAGCTTATCAAAGAACAAGTACATATTAATTAGAATTAATTGAAAATTCTCCCCTATTATTTGCAACTATTACTAAATGAGAGTTTATCTGCATTTGAACTCGTACCAGCACAAACAGTGGTTTTATAAAGGTGATGATCAATGGTTTTAAGATAATTTTCCGAGAATGAAGAGTACTTCGCTTCAGATTCGAAAGATGATTTTCTAGAAAATGCTCCGGAAAGTGCGTATGATGGTATTCCACATGCGTGTTTTTCGTGCTTCTCTTCTCTTCTTTAAGCTTCAAAGTTTTGGTTTTCTTTCGCCGTCTTGAGGTGGATCTCAAGAAAGAGTGGAATTGTTCGTGAACTTAGGCCTAATTCTAGTATTCAACGCATACCACCTTAAAGAGACTGTCCAATAGGACACGGTGGAATATTTGAGACTGTTCCGATGTCGGCCACTATTGCTATGTTGTTAAAAATTTTGAACGTTATTTTATTAATATTTTAGCAAGTCCAATTTCAGATTTCAGAAAGATTTGCTACATCTAGTGATAGCGAGGAATCTCTTACACGAACTTACCACTTCATTCCCCTTAATCGCTGCGGTTTGGTTTGTTCGAAAAGCAGGTGTGATCACTGGTTCCATATCCCGAATCCCGTCTCTCAAGGATTTGGTGCAGATTGGTATAAGACTTGTCTTGGAAGGGTAAGAAGCTGTAACAATGGATCCGTAAGCTTTCAGAAACTATTGTATAGGTCAAAGATGCATACTCTATTTTTTACTAAGCTGAAAAATAAGCAAATGCTCAGCTAATCTCCAAGGAATTGATGATGGACGAACACTTCATTCTTTAATCTTTGCAAGTTTGTCAAGACTTCAAGCTCCCATGTCACTGAACTTTGCAGCAATTTAAAAAAATATTAGCAGCTCTCGGAAAGTCCGAACGGCCGTCAGTAGCTGAAGGTTGGAAATCGTACGTTTTCACTATTTTCGTGGGCAAACACTTTACACAAAGGTGCGATCTCTTTTGTCGAGTCTTTAGTTGCCAGACCAATGAATGCGAATGCGTTCTTGCTAAATCGTTGCTCTGAAGGTGTGTCGTCTTTGACAAAGGTTGTATGGCATATGTATTTGTTTATACAGCAAAGCAATTAGGTAACGGTGACTCGACTCGAACAAAGATTGTTGTTCTATACGTGTGACAAACGGTCTCTGAACGATCTCACGTGCACAGGCCCATAAGCTGAAAACGAGTTCTTTCCCAGTGGGAATTTCTGCTTGGATTTCATAAACAGCTGGTGTTCCCGGTTACGAAAAGTGGAGTCGAAAATTGGCAGCGCATCAAAAGAGGAGCAGAAAATTTATTTGTACCACTGCTTAGATTTTTTGGATACCAAGAGAAAGTGGTTATGATTGATTGGAAAGTTAGTGATGGTCAGAATACCAAAGGCCCACTATATCCTCTTTCATACTAACCTCCTATGAATGAAAGGAAACCGAACGGCTTTTTAATGTAACTCTTAGGTCACCAGTTTAGTCTATGCGCTTTATCTGTTACCAAAACGGTACCAGTAATCCCTCATTATTTTTTCAAATTAACAAAAATAACTGAAAAGTTAGTCGCCTTCTCACTGGAAGCGAATAAGCAAATCATTTGTTTTCATTGGGGTAAAAGAAGTTATGCAGTAGCCAGTTTTGAATTCCGATGTTGGAAATGATTTTCCAGGTGAACTTAATTATTTGTCCTTCAATGGATTTTTTTTCTTCTGCAAATTCTTGATTTGTTGTCAAGTACTACCAAAGTTTATTAATTTTTTTTCTGCTTTAATCAATACGTCATAGGTGCCCTTTTCTGTTTTTGGTAGAAGCGACTTTTTAAAAGATTTCTTCTGGTAATGTTCTCAGTTTTAGCGGTATAGACAAAGACTCTCCCTTTGAGAATGTTTATTCAAAAGTGTACAGTGAGGACAAGAGAAAATCCTAGCCTATCTGTCATGAAGTTTGTAAGAAAACAAATGTGCTCAATCGGCAGAACACCAGTGAAGTGGAAATCGTAGCTGGTCCCACATAATTAGAGAACACGTGTCACCAGAGTATTCATGCAGTTGGTTCTTTATTTGCTTAAATCATGTAGAAGTAGAAGCAGGTGGGTTTGCCTGCCTTCCTTTCTTTAATATTCCGTCTGTGGAAGTTATCCCACCTATGGAAATTGTTTTTTCTTCTTCTAGATTTTGAACGGGGATCTAATAAACTGCCACGGCAGCCACCGGTCACTGAACTTTGTTTTAGGAAGGGGCATGGCCTCTACCAGTTTAATACTAATTATCATGATGGTGGGAGGAGTGTATGGATGGGAGACCGGTTACTGGTAACGACTCGTATAAAACGTACTGTTGATGTGTAGATTAGACACTACAATGTCTGACGAGAAGGCAAAGTTTGCAGAAGCAGAAGCCCTTAGGCATCTTGCTTTCTTTGGCATTGCCATCTCCACCGTTGCTACGCTTACTGCCATTGTCGCTGTTCCGATGCTTTACAATTATATGCAGCACATACAGTCATCTCTTCAGAACGAAGTACTTTCTTGTTCAGTGCTTTTGTTATTTACTTTTTTATGCAATAATCTTTTCGTTTAAGGTTGAATTCTGTCGCCACCGTACCGATGGACTTTGGAAGGAATTCCATAGGGTACTTTATTCACTTTTCCAGATAGCTGTCTGTACATAGAAACCAGATGAAACATATATTTGTGTGAATCTAAGTAGTAACTTGGAAACTTTTTAAAGAAGTAAAGAAGCACTTAGGTATTTTTAGGCTTGTGAATGTGAGATTTTTTGCTATTGCTGGAGAATTTTTCTATAAGCGAATGCATTTAGAAAGTAGTAAAACAACAGTTTCCATTAGTAGAAATTTTAACTTAAAGCAATAAGAAAAGCTTTTCAATGTCAGTAATTCAGGTGAGAGAAATTGGTGGGTACACAAGATATTTACGTAAAAGAACACCCTAGTCATTTCTTTCCATAATCTTGCTTTCTAATATGGTTTTACGTTTTATTTCTCTTTCCCCATCTACGCCGTATTCTTCAGTTTGAGTCTATAAAGGGAGTTGAAAGCCGAATCAAGAGGAACACTTGGCGACAACAATTCCATGTTCCAGCTCGAGCTCGTGGAACAGGTACATACGCACAAGGTGTTAATGGAGTTGGAGGAGCAGGTAGAATAGTTTATTCTTTTATAATCTTTATGGCTTTTCAATTTCGTAGGCTAATTAAATTCTTAAAGGTGGAGTTGCTGGCTCCGGCTGTTGCTCTTGCGGCGTAGGTCCTGCGGGACCTCCTGGACCGCCAGGAATTGATGGAAACCCTGGAACAGACGGCGCACCAGGACGTGCAGGCCAGCCTGGCGCGGACGCCGAAGCTGGAGCTACTCCCAAGGGAGAAGACTTTTGCTTTGATTGTCCACCAGGACCGGCAGGACCTGCAGGAAACCCTGGACCACCTGGACCACCTGGCGCACCTGGGTCAATAGGAGCTAGTCCGCCGGCAGCGCCAGGTGGCCCTCCTGGACCTCCTGGCCCTCCTGGGCCTCCAGGTAACGATGGACCACCTGGTGCACCAGGAAATCCAGGAGCCCCTGGACAGCTTACCGAGATTCCTGGAACTCCTGGACCAGTTGGTGAGATACTACAAGTCTTCAATTTACATCGGAATAAATTTCATGAGATTTTATTTGGTAATCTTTGAATATTGATATCTCTGTATTTAAGGACCACCAGGACCTCCCGGACCACCCGGACCTCCTGGAAATCCTGGTGCCCCAGGAAGCTCACAACCCGGTCCGCCTGGACCACCAGGAGATCCCGGCCCAGACGGCGCTCCTGGAAATCCTGGAGTCCCTGGAAGTCCAGGCGTGTCTGGCGCTGCTGGAACTGGTGGTGGCTGCGATCATTGTCCACCTCCTCGAACAGCTCCCGGCTACTAAAACCTCACCAATGGCCTCATAAAAATTATATGGCTTTCATTGCCAATAAGCAGATTTGCATCAATTTACGTACGAGTCACCACAAAATAATAAAGCATTTGTCGAGTTTTTTCGGCTTACATTTCTTATTATACATTGAAATTTTTAAGACATTTGGGCCACTTTAGCAATCTGTGGCCCTGTTCGTGTGTACTATTTCACTAATAATCAAAGCTCGCTTATTGTTTCCAAGCATAAAAGTAATAAATCTGCTATAAGTATGTTTATGCTAACAGTCATAGTCTTGAGATCGTGGGTGGTTCCACATGATTACTTGTCACGGGAGAAATTGTGTATTGCGAAGCACTAGTTTCAGCTGAGGTGAAATGACAATAATTGGTTTCGGCCGAGGTACTCCCATCTATTCTGAAGGATCTCTCAGAAAAACAGTAGACCTTCATTGCATGAATGTAGACCACAAACCTAAGAAATGAAAGCGAGAAATGAAGCTCACTGGAACCTTTATATTCCAAAAAGTCTTGGAAAATCCAGTTTATTTTAGTTGTCTCTATAGCTGGTCATTAACCCAACCAATTTTTTGTTCTTAACAAAAAAATTTCGTTTGTTGTCAAAGCAATTCTGACTCACCAGACACAACAAATGTGGTTCTTTATAAACAGCGGAATGAAACCGTAATTGCCATCATGCAATTTTCTGTAATTGTGCAAGCTTTGGTAACGACTGTCTGCTGTGCACAGTACGTTCCACTGAGTATTACCGTCGTTCGACCAGCAGAATTGGACAGCTTTAGCAAGAGGATCGAGGTGAGGACGAGTACTTCCCAATTCCGATCTATTGTCTAGATCTGCTAGTTCGTCGTCCGCTACTCCTTTGTCTCAAACAAGTTATTATGTTATTGGTTTCTAATAATCGCCGTTACGGAAGCGGTGACCGGAATCGGCGACACGTTTTGCCTAGGCTGTCAGTGAAGATAACGGGTAACCAGTGCACGATCGTTATAAATCTTATGGAAAAGAAATACCAAACTTTTACGCTTACTAAGTTTAAGTGCTTAAGTTGAACTCAAGTAGTCTAAAACTTCATATTGCTCATAGGGTCTACTGCAGATATGGTATCTTTAGAAAAGCAAGAAGACTGTGGTTATGTAATGCGTGAAAGTACCGTCCTGGCTTCAATTACTTAGCATCAGATACCTAATGGGTTCTAAAATGATAGTTTTAATAAAAAGAATAGAAGTTACGAATGCCGGCCTCCAACATCAAGGGTGAACTTTAAAACTTAATTTAATATTGTGAAATCGGTGATAATGTGGTCAGATTTTATAATATTGCTAATTGGGAAAAGCAATCAATATAACTGCATACATTTATTTATATTTTTTCATGAACTGGTCTTTTCGAGCTAATGTGAGGTTGCTATAGTTGTTGTTGTTGTTGTTGTCGGAGATTTCGCCTTCCTCAGAGCCGTGCTGTTACGGGTGGGACTGCCCGCGACGCGACAAAACAACAACAACCATATCAACCTCGCATCGGCTTAAAAAGATCGGTTCATAAGTACATATGAACAAATATATCGATTATTTATGTCGAAGTCTGCAAAAAGTCGGTCTTTTGAGTTACTAACTGCATACAATCTGAGACTGAATGCAAGCCAAAATACCCTTTGAAACAGATTCTTGTTAAAAGTAACGCGACAGAAATAAATTCTCTTAAAAATAGTGATAACTGCAAAAAAATTAGGATCGAAGGTTTCTTCTGCTTTTATTTTGCCACCAATGCTGAACTGCACCAGAAAAATTGTTCACATTTTCGAATTAGGCCAGAGAGGCTCTTCAGTTTTTGGCGGGAATAACTCTCAATTCACATTCAGGTGTAAAGATAACGAATCGCTCAGGTGCCGCTCAGGTGATGCTATGATTCTATCCACACATCAACGAAATTGTTTTCACAACTATCAAACATCTGAACTTACAATCCTTGCTCGAGCTTAGTACTACTATACAATTATATAGAAAGGTGTACGTGACCGATTGAGAGTGAAACAATTCTGCATAACCTCTTTCTTTTAAATGTTATGTTAAATGTCAAAAAATCCCTTCTTATCCGGAAAAATTAGTCCGGAGAAGAAAAAAATCGAAAACATTTTCGACTTGTACTGAGGAAAATTTATCTAAATCTTCGGGAAGATGAAGAAGCCATCACTGATGTTAATCCTCTGATCGTACTTTTCAGGACGCTTTGAAGAGTGCTATTCGTAATCTCTCTACAATAGTTTCTGTTTTGGACTATGGGAGCCGAAATGTCACAAAGAAACCAATCATCAAATGTTCCCCGATTTTCGAGAGAACGAGAACTGTCAGAATAATAGAGAAGGTGAGCTTATTTTTATCTGTCATCTTTTATTGATCAGTCTCATAGAAGTGTGTAAGCAGTTTTATGCTTACCTTCTAAGCTCGTAGAGTAAACAAGCACGAAACCGAACCATCTAGGAAGCTGGATGTTTACCGATGGTTGGTCCATTGCAGGCAAGTCTGCATTACTTCGCCTAGCGTTGTGAAAAAATGTATCTCACAGGCTCGGAGAGATGATAGGTCCTTGAGCTTCATAAGTGGTAGTGAAGACTAGTTCATATGTCCTTTCAGGCTTTGAAATGTTATGTTAAATGTCAAAAAATTCCAATTCAACTAATTCAAACATCTGAACTTACAATCCTTGCTCGAGCTTAGTCCTACCGGATTTTTCCGGATAAACTGAAGGCTGTTGTTGTTATTATTGACATTAATACTAATATTACTACAACGTTGCTGAGATATTTGCAAAACTCTGGACCGCAGGTGTCTATGGTGGGGAACGAACGCGCTATTATCCTTTCCGGGGAGTAACGCGTTCACCACCACACCATGCGGGTCCTTCGTTTCGCCTGTCTCTCAGCTATTTCTATCGATCTTTTTGCCACAGCAATCACCCGTCAGCGGGGTTGATCTGGGGAGCGCAAATCGGCATAGAACCCAGTTATGCTATGGCTGTAGTTGAAATCATAATGTTTAACGTTTTGTTTTCTGCCTTCTATAATTAATATTATATAATTATAATATTAAATTATAATATTATTATATAATATTATAATATAATTTTATAATTATAATATTATATTAATATTATATTATATAAAATTATAATCATAATTTTCTATGCCGATTTGCGCTCCCCACATCAACCCCGCTGACGGGTGATTGCTGTGGCAAAAAGATCGATAGAAATAGCTGAGAGACAGGCGAAACGAAGGACTCGCATGGTGTGGTGGTGAACGCGTTACTCCCCGGAAAGGATAATAACGCGTTCGTTCCCCACCATAGACACCTGCGGTCCAGAGTTTTGCAAATATCTCAGCAACGTTGTGGTTGTATTTCGCTTAGTAACCTGCCATGAAAATTATACAAGGCAGAAAGCAAAACGTTAAACTAATATTACTAGTTTTTTCTTGTTATTGTCATTATTTTCCCAGCTTCTTGGATTATTAAGCTAACACTGAGTTGATAAAAAGATCTGTTCGGCTAACGCTCTCTTTCGTTTCCTCTTTCCAGTAAGGTATTGATTAGTAATGCCTAGGTTAAATGCCGGTCGGCTTGAAAAAATCATTGTCATTGTTATTTGTATTATTATTACTACTTACGACAATCTTGTTATTGTAATCGCTAATATTACGAGTAGTAGTTGCAGCGAAAAACCTAATTGTGGCTAGTGAGTAGTGGATAAAAGAGTGAAGCATGCTTGTTACGATGTCGATAGAACCAGTGGAACAACAATGCAAGTATTGTTTTCAGGCCGAAGATCACGAAAGTCATGAAGTAAAACTCGGTTTCGAAGAGAGTTTTCTTCTGCAGACAAGAGGTCTCGTTCTTCTTATAGAGGTTTGGCGTGACATTTGTAGGTAATAGTTGAGATTCTGAAAAAAACCTTGGTTCGTGATCAGTTTCAGAGAAGAAGAAAGCTTTGTAAAGAGCGCCGGCAACTGATGGCATCTGCATCGCCGTGCGGAATAGCGAACGGAAAGAGATGAGTAATCACGTGTTCAAGACTTTTGTCTTGTCACTTCAATTAATCAGCCGTAGGATTACCATTTTAGTAAATTTAGTTCTACTTTTGCTGTTTAGTACGAGAAGGCTTTCAGGTTGCACTATATCTAATCAATGAGTACTCAATCTGAACTAATGCTCCGAATTTTTATACATTTTACCAGTTGCATTTACAACTTTAATGGTTAAAGCTGTTAACTGCTGACTGTTCAAACCACTCCTTTACTGGTGACAAGGTCAGCGAAAAAAGTAAGAGTTTGAGAATTCTACTATGCGAGATTCCAAGGGAAAAATCCGTTCAAGCCACAACAAACCACCCTCGGAATGGGACCGACCCATCAACAACATTAGGTGGAAGTTGAACGATGAGAAACGATCAGATCCTGGATTACGAAGACTATCACAACATTGCACGAAGTCTGTTTCATGTCCTGCATCTACAACACCATGAGGATCACCACAGATCTCTATCAACACACCTTCCTAGGAGATGCAAATCACACCATGTTTCGTAGGATAAATTCAGTTAGTTGATCGTAACGATAAGATGGTTCTGTGGTGCGGTGTAGATTTCTACTAGTCTCTAGACTCGTACGGAGGGAAAAACAGCTCTTTATATGCATATACTGAAGTGAGCTGAAACCTCGAAATTGTTCAAGGATACTCTCTGACAAGGGTAGAACCATCTACACGCAAAGAAATGTAGGTTTCGTTGCAGTTTCGCTTTTTAATTTTGTTCGAATGGTCAACTAAAATGTGTTAAGGGCGTTTGCCAACATTGGTTTGTCATCAAATAAAGCAGAACAATAAAAATGTATTAAATTGTAGAAAAATCAGTGATATAATCGTGTGATTGCTGAAAAGCTGTCATATGTTTTTCTCCCACTTTTATGACCGCCGAAGCAAAGATCGTTGATCGGTTTTCAATCCAATCGGGCAATTGTTGCAAAATCTATACTGCTCGATTTCAAAGACAAATTTTGCAAAATTTGCATCACCTTGGCACATCCATCTGAGCACCCGCAAAGTGGCAAATATCCCTCTGATCCACAACGGCGGCGACTTCCTAGGGTGGTGAAGACCTGAGGAAGGTTTTTGGTAGGCTGACCTGTAAACTCTAGTAGTCCACAATGGCTAAACCATCAAATTTCTTTAAAAAGGAGATTAGGCTTAGGCGCGCACAACCAGTGAAGAAGGGCCATCCAAGTACCAACTATTAAGTAAATCATAACATTGATGAAACCTATCAGAGTAAGTTTGGTTGTGTGCCAATCGTTCTGCTTATTAGAAGGCCGAAAGCAATTGGACACTTAATTTTTTTGCATACTAACTGGAAGCTATCACATCGTGTACAGTTGGGTCTGTCAAGTAATCGTATGAATCGCAGCAGGTACAGGTGTAGCCGCCACTACGACGATACTGATGGCAGCAAAGCATCGGTTGATCAACGACAGCCGGCACCTGTACTTGTGGTGAAGAGCTCCAAACCCCATAAGGCGGAAAACACGAGATTTCGAAGGAAGGAAACTTGCAATCAATATTTAACAGGTCAAGGAGGCAAAAGGAGATGCTAAACTCCCAAGCGTCGACGAAATTCCAGCACGAAACCAACTATCGTTGTAAGCAACGCTTGAAAAACAAGTAAGGCAACCGAAATTCTGAGGAAAGCATGACAATAGGAGAAGTTATTTGTTTGCCAAAGTAATATATAATAGCAGAATTTCCTATATGTTGTTCTTTGTGCTTAAGTATCCTCATCATATCGGATGTGGTGGACCACTAATGTCCTTCTTTTTCAAGAAAAACACTTTAAGAGAAAAACACAACGCTTGTTACAAAGTAATGAAATTTTTTACTTGTTTATCAGCAACAAGTAGTAAAATTTTCACTATACGATGTACAGCGGAAAATTCATTCACCCGGCAAGGCCTCCCAAGCTGAGAAGGAGTCCGGCGTTTCCATTAGGAAGCCCAGCCAAGAGTAAACCAATGCCAGGACCCACCACCGTCCTGTTATCAAACTAGTCGCATGGTGGCAAATCTCGCTCTGATCCACAAGGACGGTGAGTGCCTGTGGTGGTGAAGACCTGGGGCAGACCTTGGCCAGGCTGACCTCAGGATTCCAGGGAACCACGGTGGCTTAGCCAGCAAATCTCCGAGAAATGGTGATTGTGCTGGGGCCCGCACAACCCAGAGAGGACGGGCCGTTCAAGTATCAAGTAAGCAAGTATTCGTTAACAATTCACTTAATCTATGAAGTATTAGGAATTCAGACCGCTGATTGGCATTCTTAATACTTGTCCGGGAAAGAGATGGGAGAGGTTCCACGCTGGAATGGATCTTTTTCGTCACGAGTTAATGCACTCCTTAGTGAGCAACCTCTTTCTTATGCCAGATTTTTAATATCGAAAGACATCTTTTCATCCTACCTCGTCTGAACCTTTACTTTGAAATTTGTTTAGTCCAATAGTTGGTTCGGTTAAAGGTTTTTATGAACTACAACAAGTACTTATTAGAATTAGTAGAACTGTAGGAGGTGTGGTAGAAGCGATACTGAATGAAAAGGCGTTATTCCAGGAATTTTTCTGCAAAAATGTTATTTTTCACTTGTTATCTTGGTACCAAATGTGTAAGTAATGTTTTGAGTGCACGATAGGGCTTTGGGACGGTCCTGCCTTTTTCAAGTCGTCAAAAAAGTCCTGCGAGTGTCCTCTACAACTGGACCGACTCATGGGATCAAAGCTCACTACAATTAGCCAAAAGGCAATTTCTTGACTTCGCCGCAGATGCTGTGGTATGAATTCCGTTGTGTCATTTCTTGTTTAATGAATTGTGCTCCTTTTAGATCTGATCTAACGAAAATTTTTTGGAAAAAGGCAACTATCCTGATTTCAGGATGAGGCGAGGAAACACTTTGGTTGTCCATCGTTGGTAGGAATCGAGGCCGATTCTGTTGATAAGATTCACTTGAACGAGTATATATTTGGGGTTTGTCAGCCATATTTTATACGAAAACGATACTCAAAACTGACATTGTTTGTCATAACTCAATTCCGGAAAGGTTAAGGGTTTGGTTAGCTAAGCGCGTAGTGTCAAACCAGCGACCTTATCCTTCGTATCCTTCGTTGTGACAGTGAAAGCGTTTATCTTCTCACTGAATTAAAATAGGAAAGAAAACCTTGTCAAAATCAACAAGGAATTGTGTTACAGCTTAAGAAGGTCAATGTTTTTGATTTTCTCATTTTTCTTGTAGAATGAACTTATGACACCTTTTCTATCAAATGTATCGAATCGATTCTCGTATATTAGCGCTGCGATTCTGGAAGAAACGTACTTTGGTGAGAGGTAAGTTCGGTTTTTTGTACGATGCTGACCAGCAATTAGTCCCCGTAATCAAATTATTGATTGGACTCTTCACGTGATGATGAATCCGAGTTGTTCAGAAGGGTTTTGTTCAAGGTGATGCACTGCCGCACATTTCAACGTGATTATATAATAAATAACTCAGTCATTCCCATGACCGACTTTCTGTTAACCTCGGCATTAATTGATAATTCAATGTTTTTCATCAATAAGCAGACACGAGGTTGTTAATATAGAATTTATTAGAACACAATTGCTGACGTTTCGGCGGTTTCGCCTTCTTCAGAGCCTGGAAAGGTCAAATTGAGATGTGATCTACCCAGCCAAACACTTTCATAACCCTAGCAGATAAAACTTAACAAATAAATTTGTATTCGCATATGAAACAGCTTTATTTAAACACCTACCGTTTATTTGTTGTAAGTATTTAAATTAGTTGGTGGATAACAGCCCCACAGAGTAATACATGGGCGAGGACTGTGTCTGTGTCAGGTCATTGGATTAGTCTGAGGTATGGCGCCAGGTCACGCGTGATGATAAGACACTCCTCCTTACGGTCCATTTTTGAATTTTTGAAATTTTTGGAATTGGAGGAGTGTCTTGTCATCACGCATGACCTAGCGCCATAGCTCAGGCTGATCCAATGACCTGACACAGGCACAGCCCACGCCCATGTATTACTCTGTGCGGTTGCTATCCACCAACTCACTTAAATACTTACAACGAATAAACGGTAGACGATTTTTTTTTGATCCATAAAGAACTTAAAAAGTTGACAACATGAGAACATGATCGTCATAGAAGAAACTTTGCTCTACTGCTCTAGTGGTATGCGTGGTATGTAAGACTCTATTTAAAATATGTTACTGTGGTCCACCACACAAACCACATTGCCGTTAGCAATTCGGTGTGCTTTGCAGCTTATGCTCTCTACTCTATACTTTTATATCCACCCAGTCTATGCAATAATCTTTATTCATCGTAGCTACCGGAATTGAAATAACAGTCAATTTATGGGTAAATGAACTCGTTCGAGAAAAGTCTTTTTATACATCTCTAAGTGAAGAATGAAACCTTCTTCGTTGACGGTCACCTTAACATTTGCGTTATATATGCTGTTGAATCATTACGAAAACTACGATAAAAAATTCTATGCCGTGAAACTAACTGCTTAGAATGAGCGGCATGTGACCCGCCTCATCAAGAGAACCCGAAAACGGGTGAGTCATATAGGACTCATACGGCCACTATGTATTGAAGTATATGTAATATGTATTGAAAATACCATAACAGTTTATTAGCGAGTTTTATGCCGACTGTGGATCACTTTTTAGGAGGACATCCGAAGGAAAAAATTTCAGGTGCTTCTCACAATTTCAGAAATAAGAGTGTTGATACAGATAAACAGATATTAGGTTGGATAAGAATCACGCGATGCTTCCATAATTTTATGATTGGGTCAAATGTATTAAGAAAGTACGTATAAGTAAAGGAAAAGAGAAAAATCAAGAAAGAGTTTTAAAAATTGTAGTTTGATTTCCCAATTCAATGTGTGCATTTGAAGTCATATTCGGCTATTGTTATACTGGGAACAAGGTCCAAAATTTGTTTTGCAACCTCTTTCACGTAATGATTTGAGGCCTAATTCATCATTCTCTGTTGGGTTTTGTAAACTACGGACAAGGAGAAAAACCATGATTCTTTGACTGGCTTAGCTTGCATAATCTGGGCGGAACTTAACGCGTTGTTGGTTAATTCGTGTTATATCTATATAGTTGACATTTTGGAGATAAATCTGCTAAGAGTACCAACATTTTTTACCTGATTACCAGGATTTGTAGATTTTATGTTCGTTTCCACACATGCGTTATCAACAGAAATGAAGAAGCTTGCTATTACCGCTTAGAGGCTGATTTGTCACTCGTTGTATTACTATCCTTTTTAGCTTAAGCTGTTCTTATAATGCAAAGCCGCGGCTTTTTTAAAACTCTTTTATTTGTTGTCGGAAACATTTCACAACGTTATGACCTACACTTACCACTTCTGCAGTATTTTTCCAGACCTTGGTACCGTGTGAATCGTTCTGCGATTCTTGAAGAACACGAATCGCTGTGGTACGGCCGTGGATGGGGTTGTACGTTTGCTGAACGCAGTTGTTTTGACTTCATCGCTGATCGTACAAGGTAAGTTAACGTTTCTACCACTCTCGCAGTGCTTGTTAAAGTCCAGCTCGTTCATCTGCAACTAGAACTCGTCTGTCGAACGTTCCTACAGAGAACTTCATTTTATTCATACTGCACCGTATTTTGTTATTTTTTTATCCGATGGAACGTTTTTTGAGCCCTGAAAATATTCAAACTGGTATCGACCTGTTTAGAGATTGGTTAGATAGCAAGAGACGAAATTCAGGAGAATATGTTTCGTCCCAAAAGACCTGTTTTTTAAAAAGAGTATCAGCGTTTTAAGTCACGAAAACTCAAAGTGTTTCCATTGAGCTGAGTTGAGTTTACTAAAACAATGTTTATTCAACAATAGGCCGACGTTTCAGCAGATGTCGGCTTTCCCAGAGTTTGAGAAGGGACAAACTAACGTGCAGCGTGCTCTTCCTAACACTCTGTTTTCCATACATACTTGGATACTTGGATGGTTGTGCGGGTCCCAGCACAATTTCAACTCGTTTCCCTCTCGCGCAGTCGTTGTCCATGATGGCGGTCTGCTTCGAACATAGTGATCTCCTCGGGCCTCATTTCGTAACCCTGAAATCGTTGCCATTTGCGAGTGCAGATGGTTGACGTTATGACGTTACCCAGAAAAACTTTTGGCCATTGTTTGGGTGATCCTCTAAAAGGACACCAAGGTAGGTCGTCGGACTATCGTAAATCATCGTGTGGGTCAGATATGCACTTATTAATCTAAAACTAGGCTTGACGAAGTTGAATGAATCATGCATTCCTGAAGGACTGATAAATACGGGGTGCACTGCTTTCTCGACTTTGTTTGATTGGAACATGTTTCATAATCTTTCTTAGTTCTGTTGAGATGCATAACTACAATCTACTGGTGATCTTTTTTCGGATAACCTACCAACATTGGACACTAAGGCTATCATCATCGCCCGTTTCACGCAATATGAGGGGACAATAAATACGTATGACGTTTTAGTTTTTTATTTTTACTTTACACGACCAGTCTTCGTGTCTACTGCGCGGATCCCAGCACTTCTCACATTTGATTCGTTTCTTCGTAGTCATTATCCACGAAAGCCTTCCAACTTTTACGTGTGGATTCGGTTGCTTCCTGAAGATTTTCATTTCATTTGAATGTCGTAGAATGCTGCTCAAGTCGACTTTCCCTGGAGTTCTGGGATAGCCGGGCTAGACCGTTTCCACTTGGATTGCAGAGAGTTATTTCATCCCGGATAAGGCCGGTACCAATTTACCGACCCCGATAGGTGAAAGGCCTGGTGGGCTTAGAACGGTCGAACCAGCACCGTGCTCACGACCATCAGCGTCATTGCCGCTATGCTATCCGCCTTGTTGGACTATAGCTCATATTTGTCAGGAAGGAGTTTCTAGCTCTTCAAACTTTAGGTGGACCGTGAAATATTCTGAAAAACTTAGAGGGCAGCAATGGGACAAAGTAGTAGATGGTACAAAGTCTTGCCATCGCTTTGATGTCTAAGATAGCCTTGCTTGTTGATATCTCGATGAATGTTTTGATATCTGCTTTACGCAGCTTGAGATGGACAATTGTTTTGATTTGTTGAATAAATAATCACATGAAAGTGCCGGCTAAAATCAACCGAAAGACACCTAGTTTGCATTTCTGAGTGTTCGGGCAGGCCGCTTCCGAAAACGGCTAACTTTTTATTCAATCAAATCACTACATGATCTCTAAGATTGTTATGTTAACAACTTCTCGACAAATTACCGAAATGCGGTTATTTATGGAAAAATGTCAGCGTCAAATTAGGAGTCACCAACTCGCTTTCCACCCGAAGGGTCTAAATATGTGTGCAGGCTAGAGTTGGCGTTTATTTCCCGTTGCGCACTAGAAATAAATCTCAGAAAATTGCCTGCAAGGATATGAAGAAGGTAATCAAAGAAGGAAAAGCACATCAAAGTTGGCATGACACGACGACTTGAGTTCAGTGATGGACTAAAAAAAGCCTGAAAACGATAAGCTTTTAGGTCGAATGAGTCTATATTCCCTTTCTGCGCCGAAAACCAGTATGACGCCGATGAAAGGAACATGGTGAGTTTCTACACAATTTTGCTATCCAAAAACATCCACGACAAACCGATCTTCTAACAGAACTCGCATAAGAAACTAGATTATAGCACGTTTTATCACTAACTATACTAGTGTGGAAAATGAAATTATGGTGGTGACCCGTATGGTGTGGTGGTGAACCCGCTACTCCCCGGAAAGAACAATAGCGCGTTCGTTCCCCATCGCATACACCTGCGGTCCGGAGTTTTGCAAATATCTCAGCATCATTAATGAAATTATTAAACTGAGCCGCAAATCAGACCATATACTAACCTTCTAGAATATGTAGGAGGAAGTGATTCATTACTATTATGTTACTGTAGTGTTGTTCTCATTCCACTTTTTAATAAAGTCTTCTGGCCAACATAATCACACTAGACTTTCCTAGCATGTACAAAATCGTCTGTTCTGAAGCTATTTCACTTGGAGGCCGTTTTGCATAATTTCATACGTTATTGAATGATGAAGCCGTTCAGTATACCGTCATCCTTTACCACTTTTTTAAGGTACTGATTGAGTCTGTCTGGATTAGCCACTTATGGATGCGTGAATGCTACAAATCAAACATATAGCAAACATGATCTCGTAGTTGTCACCAAATGATTTCACCAACTAAGTATAGAACTGACTGTTCCAAATAATAGAAAAAAAAACCGTCGTATGCTCTTAAGTGCTTGTTATGCTTTCTATTCATATTTGCAGGCTCGTTATTATCGAATCCTCTCAACGGTTTACCACTTCATCGTGGCTGGGAGGTATTCCAGGGTGTAGGACTGCGATGTACAGTGGTGGGATTCATTCCCTGGCAGGGTCTCCCAAGCTGAAAAGGAGTCCGGCGTTTCCATCAGGAAGCCCAGCTAAGAGTAAATCTATACCAGGACACACCACCGTTCTGGTATCAAAGTCGTATTGTGGCAAATCTTCCTCTGATCCACCTGATCTAAGGGCGGCGACTGCCTCTAGTAGTGACGACCAACGGCAGTCTTTGGCTATGCTGACCTCGGGATTCCTGGGAAACGCAGTGGCTAAACCATCAAAACTCCGAAAAATAGAGAATATACTTGAACACTCACAACCAATGAGGACGGGCGGTCCAAGTGTCCAAGTAGGCAAGTATTATCGAACAGTTGCTGAGTGATCTGACATTATTATGGGCAATTAAGAATTCGAATAAAGACCACAACCATCTTGTAAGGTTCTTGTTCTTCATCTGCATCACCATTCTTTTCCTGCGTGACTTCTTCGTCTTTTGCCTTAATAGTTGCTAAATTTCTAGTTAACTATGTTATTTTATTTCCAAGTAAAACACCTCAGTAAAGACAGGAAGGGTTAAACAAAAGTATGCACCAGATCTTAACTGAAATAGAACGAAAAGAAGAAGTTGACGATGAAGATGCCAGTGTCGATTATTTGGTAGAAGTATATATAATTCAAAAATGACTAGGTGAAAAAAACGGCTGTCGAAACACAGAGAATACGATGACGACTAGGATTCATGGTTGGTTTAACAGTCGGAGTCGATATACAGTTACTCGACAATAATCACCTTTGGAATTTTTACGAAAGTTGGAAGATCCATTTGAGGATATTGAGAGAGATAATACAAAAGTCCAGTCCATTCCTATAATATTTTTGGACATTGTTTTTGTCAGCGAAGAAAGCAAATGCGGAGGCGAAAAATGATTGAGTGTGGGTGTTAAGTGAGCCGAAACCTATAAGGGCTTGCATCTTCTGCTCCAGCGCTGCGGCAACATTAGAGCTGCTGTCTTTCGTTGAGCTGTCAACCAACCAGCATACTGTGACGACCAGAGCTCAGCTCGGGAACCGTTTATTGAAGATTCACTTACATGAGGATATGACAGCGCTTACGACTGTGGCTGGTTGCTCACAACTCATCACTTCCCACTTCGTTAAATGTTGATTTTGAGAGAAATTGCAAGCCAGGCCATTTGAGGACATTTCTATTGAAGCCGGTGATTCCATCTCGAGGCAGAGTTAGAGAGGACGATTGTCTTCTCACCGCTTCATTCCAAATGGACGGTTAACCGTGCTGTCTTCAGTGAGATAGTATAGCTTGTTCGTAGCATATTTTTTGCCAACACGTGAAATTTACAGCAGCAAAAGCGGTGTATAATATTAAATGTTTCCGTAAAAAGACATTTTCGTATAATATTTTATTCTGATCAGAATAATTAGTAACTGGTTAAAAACTAAAAAATTGGTTATTTAACTGTAGCGATCAACATCGTTTAAGTTTAAGATGGAAACAGTGACAAAAATGAGGACCAAAGTGGCGAAAAATAAGTGCTGGAGTCGTCCTATTGTGAAACATGACGTGGCGGACAATGGAGTCATGGTATTCTCGAAAACCTTCCGAGCAATTTTATGTGAGGTCGTATTCATTGAAAGTTCCAGGCTTATCCGTTGTCCAGACATCCGTCTTCCTTTCTACGAAAACGCGTTGGATCGCCACCAAATCAACGATTTTGCCCCATGGCCGAGGTAATTGTGAGCATTTTACTTCGTCCGATCGATCGGAGATGGAATTCGTCAGCTTATGGGTCATATTTTCGTTTCACACAGACACACACATACACGTCTTGTATTCCTTCCTGGACCGCACACACGTTCGATAATATTATTCCACTCTCTTCATCGTACTTTTCTTTCGTTAAATATTTGCAGCAATTTTTATAGAGATGAAGGAAATCACATGATTCCTAACGAGTTTTCTTTTTAATATTCTTCTGAATAGAGGCGTATATGCAGCGCAATGGTCAAAGACCCCTTGCGATACACTTGGGTTCGATCCCGAACCCCAGACTCACCAATCCTTCCATCACTCCGGGGTCTGCAAGTTGGTAGTGGACTTGTCTGGGAGGGAGCAGCACTGGCTCGATACATCGGTCGGCCGCCGCGAGTCATTGTACAGGCCAGATGTGCATTCAATCACCTGTAACGATGCTTAATGAGGTCAAATCACGGCGTTTCCCACAGGGAATGATCAACATCGAGAGCTTTGTCCTTTTATTCCTGTGAATTATTATTATCGTAGGAAAAGGTTTCTGTAGACTATAATTAGTATCTAGTTTTGTAGTTAGTTAAATGAGATTTTCAGGCTTTCGTGGATGATCATTACAACCTACTATGAAGAATTGTCACGTTTGGAGAACGTCCGACGATTATACAGTGCTGACATACCATAAACATTTAAAGCTATGGTGCACCTTTTCTCAAAGTTATCTTTCTCAAGCTATGTTCTTTCCGTATTTCCCTTGCTTTAACGGAAAATCATTCTTTGGAAAGAGTTGAACGGTTTCCTATATTGTGTGGAGGTCTAAATCAATTTTGACCAATGTTCTATTTATGGTGCATTTCTTTTTCTTCCTGGTTTTAAGTAACTTAAAGATTTAGAGCGCCCATTCTCACATATAGTTTAAGCTTAATACTTCTTTCATTCGCTTCATCGTTACGCCCATCTCATACGTAGGAGTAATCAGGTTCGGGCGGCAGGTCCGACTGCTTGAAATCTTGTTTTTTTCTCTCCTCATTTAAATGTTGAATACCGTTTTAGGTATGATTGTCCTTAAAATCCCAAGATATCCATGAAGAAGCGTTCGCATATCTTAACAACAAATGGTCGCTAACCCTTCTGAATCGCAAGGAATTTTGACATCTGATGGTTAGAATTCTTCCAAGATGGCAGAGAGTCATTTCCTGGCAACAATTCTTACGATCAGTTAACCGACCCGCTGAAATAGCAGTGTATATGACTATGCAATTCGAAATTTGTTTCAACTACAATATCAAAGTATTCTTGAACGGGCCGTTCAAGTATCAAGTATCAAGTATGTAATTCAATGGGAAAAAGAAGCGCAATCCTTCAGTAACACACCGTCTTCTAAAAACAGCTGCTTTCGTGGTTGGGATATTGAATTGCAATGTGCAGCTGCGACCACGAAGGTTCTGCACCAAGTGAATCATTGAGGCTGAGTGGGAGCTTGCCATCAAGGAGCTTAGCTAAGAATATGTATATCCCGCCATGGACGTCTTTGCCAAAGGAGGTCATCGTATCATGAGTATAATACATTGCGCCGGGTATTTCCTTAGCGACTACACGTGCACTTGATGACTTTCAAGCCAGTCGTTGATTAACGGTGTTACAGATGATATAATGTTATCGTCACGGTGACTACAAAGAACTATCCACTAAGCGTTTGGTAGTTTATAAAATAGACTGTGGTGGCGCCGAGAGCTCCTGAGACAGAAAGCAAAGTTCATTTCCTTTATATAATGAGCAAAAAGGGTTTTCAAATCTTCTCAGACCACCAGAAATCCGCCAAAAGTAGTTTTGCTCTACCTTTTCCATATTTTTATCGAAAACGAGAATGCTTTGAAGAGCTTAAACCAAAGCTATTTCGTTAAAGCATGTAAGAGCGCTTGCCAATGACCGTCGTAATTACATACTTGATACTTGAACGGCCCGTCCTCATTGGTTGTGCGGTCCCCAGCATAATCTTCATTCTTCGGAGATTTGCTGGTTAAGCCATTGTGGTTCCCTGGAATCCCGACACTATCGCAGGCAGGCGTAGTCCTTGTGGATGAGAGGAAGATTTGCAACCATGCGACTTTGATACCAGGACAGCGGTGGATCCTGGTAATAGTTTACTTTTAGCCAAGCTTCCTGATGGAAACGCCGGACTCCTTCTCAGCTTAGGAGACGCTGGGGATGAATCCCTCCTGTTCATCGCATCCCGACCCCCAGTAACACCTCCCAGCCACGGTCAGGCGGTGAACCGTTGAGAAGACTGTTGTAATTACGTTTCTATAAGTGCTTTCTCGTATATAACTTGGAAAAAAACCATCATATTGTCGAAACGGCACGTTAACACGGCAAAGAATTCGCTCGATCGAGAAAAGGCGTCATGGACATCGATGAAAAAACCTTATCAAAACTTGTTTCGCATCATTACTATCATTTCAGAAAAAGCTATGATGGAGAGACATTTGTTATAAGGCTCACCGAGGCGTGTAAGAACAAAGCAGCGAATAGTTGAAAACAAACCGAGATGGATAATTTCCTGATTACAAAAACTTCGTACGAAGCACCGATGAAATGACGTATCCTAATTTACTGCTCACTCGCAGTGATCTTCTCACATCCGGCTACACAGTCGGGTAATGGATTGACACTTCAACAACGTTAGGAGGTGAAAAACATTGCTCAAGAGAACTGTAGGCCATCACAAGCCGTTGTGTAGACCATATGAGTTCAGTCACCTAAACGATGTTCAGCGAAGTGAAATGCCTTTCGCATCTCTATGGGAGAATCACCCAACTGAGCAAGGGTCCAAGTATCCAGATGAAAGCGAAGACAGCAGCGACCCAATTTGCTTTTAGATCTAAATCGTTTTTTTCTTTTTAGAGCTTTTTTTGTTAGTAGACGTCTAGCAAATGTCAAGTAGAACTCAAAAGAACTCTAAAATTGCGTGATTTTCAGCTAAATAGGTTCACATTGGGGTTGTTGATCTCTCTTAGAACTTATTTTTGCGATTGGCACAAATTTATTAAAAATTTTGGAACACAAAAAGGCTTCTGCGAACAGGAGACAGGAAAAGAACAAAAGTTGGATGTATATGTATTTGTTTCCTGTTTCGCACATACATATATGTGTACGTATATATATATATATATATATATATATATATACATATAGATATATATGTACATACACGGGAAAGAGTTGGATAACATAGTGGAAGTGATGTCGGTCATCAGGAGCACGGTGCCGCTTCGACCCCGCTCCGAGCTCACCGAGCCGTTCACTTTTTCGAGGTCGGAAAACTGACATCGGACTTTTGCGAAAAAAGACTCTCTAAACTCTCTGAAATCCAAGTGGGAACACTCTAGCCTCTCTCAGGACTACAGTGAAAATCAACTCGACCACCGTTTCACGACATTCGAGATGAAAGGAAAATTCTCAAGCAGCAGTCGATGCTCATCTGTAACACCTGTATCACCTGTAGTCTCGTTGATCGTCGAGTGACTCGAGCGGGCGCTAGTAAATCTTCCATTTTTCCCTGTCGCGTGCAAGAGTAGCCCAGTGGGTTCTGCTCGCTCTAGGGACTCGTCGAGCATCATATCTTTCTTCAAAGCTCTTTGTGAAGAATTCTGACCATCGGGTCGGTGGTCTTTCTGCAGTACGTTTGACATTCCGAGGAATCCAGTCACTAACGGCTCTTGTCGATCGGCTGTCATTCATACGCATTACGTGTCTGGCCCACCTTACGTTCGACTGTTTGGCGTACCGAACACCGTCTTTGATTTTTGACCATTGACGCAGATCGGGGCTCTGGATCTCATTTCTTACTTGTGTGGAACGGGATACTCCTAGCATCGTTCTTTTGACTACGCGTTCGATAACGCTGAGTGACCTTTCATCCTATTTACGCAGCGACCAGGTTTCTGACGCATACATTAGAGCAGGAATTACTGTTGAGTCGAAAAGGTGGGCGCGGAGTCGGGTGTTCTTTGTCCTCTTCACTATATCCTCGACGTTCTTGAAAGCTTCCCGCTCGTTCCCCTCTGCTCAACTCAGTGGTTAAGTCGTTTAACATGTTGATTTCCCTACCTAGATAGACATAACTGTAACATTCTGAGATATTCGTTCCGTTGAGCGTGAATGGTGCATGCGAAACCAATCCGTTCTTCATGAACATCGTTTTTGCGAGATTTAGTCGAAGACCAATCTTTCCACAGGCTTTATCAAAGTCGTCAAGCTTACGTTCCGCTTGGATAATGTTTGGTGTTATAAGGACGATGTCATCAGCAAAGCGAAGATGGTGTAACTGCCGACCATCGATTTTCACTCCCACGTTCACTTTTCACTGATCGTGAGTCCAGTGGTGACTCGATTCCTCCCCAGGCCCACTAGGCCTCTCCTCATTCCAGAATCGGGAAATTGCTACAGACTTTCCCGTGAAATAATCTCTACAGCTCAATTGGGAGCGCTCTACCCCGTTTATCTCAGGATTCCAGGAAGAATGGACTAGACGAGCATTCTACGATGTAAATATATATATGTATACATAAATAAATAAATATATGTATATGTTTTATTTTCGAAACACTGCTTCACGATTTACACCAGTAATTTTCAGGACGTCGTGAACTTGAAGGAATAACCAGTTCAAACTGCAAGTCTTTGCCAAGCATTAGTGAGTGTTGTTACTCAAGTTATATGAAATGCTACTTTTCTGGAATCCAAATAACTTTCTTGCCGTTCCTGCCCCTACTTCGAGCATCAAAGCGACTGAACGTGATTTCGTTCACCACACAAATATTTTGGTACAGTATGATCCCTATGTATTTGTTTATCTTTAATGCTACCGTGCTTGTACTGATTTTTTTACAAATTTAAATTACCACAAGAGTAACTACTACGGCCGACTTTCTATTAACCTCGGCATTGATCAAGTAATTCTCCGCATTCTGTTCGTATTTTTTTGAGCAAACGCGAGGTGTTATTGTTCTTTGTTCACGATTAAGCTGACGTTTCGGCAAATTTCGCCTTCTTCAGAGCCTGGAAAGGTCAAGTTGATAGCAACTCACTCGGCCAGACGCCTCCATAACCAAACAAAGAAACCCTAAACCAAGATTTCAATCACTTTGAACACAGCTTTGCACACTCACCGCTTTCTATGAGGTCTCCACTAAGTATGTCACGTAGAGACCAACCGCACAGAAATCACGTGGAAGTATAATGTGCCCCTCACATCAGAAAAGCAGTTTTATATACTGCCCTATATCACGCGTGATAATGAGGCATTCTTCCCTGCGGTTCATTTTCGGATTTCTGGAATTAATCCAGAGTGCCTCGAGAGTTTTTCGCGCCTGTGTTCTCGATTCGCGTGCGAGGATCGTGACACATACTTCGAAGTCGTCCCCGTTATGTCTCTGGGTCCTATGCGTGCCTAGCGGGGTATTTGGTCTATTTTTGCCGGCTAGGTGTTCTTTCATGCGGACACAGAGGGGTCTACCCGTCTCGCCAATGTATTCGTCACCACACGTCTTACAGGAGATCAGATAAACTATACCCGAGCTCATGCAATCACCGTCTCTACCACTGGGGCAAATTATGCAATTGATCAAATTGATTATTGATTATCAAATTGTTATTATCAAATATTATTATAATTATGTAATT